ATCAGATGCATGCAGTGGAAAATACAGTGGGGAGATTTTATATACACAGAGAACATGAAACAATGGGTGTTACCATACACACTGTAATGAGAGTGATCAGGTAAGGTGAGCTATTACCAGCAGAAGAGGAAAAAAACCTTTTGTAGTGATAAACAAGGTGGGCCATTTTCAGCAGTTGACAAGAATGTGTGAGGAACAGTAGGGGGAGAAAATAAACATGGGGAAATAGTTTTACTTTGTGTAATGACACATCCACTCCGAGTCTTTATTAAAGCCGAATGGAATGGTGTCCAGTTTGCAAATTAATTCCACTTCAGCAGTCTGTTTCTGAAGTTTTTTTGTTGAAGAATTGCCACTTTTAGGTCTGTAATCGAGTGACCAGAGAGATTGAAGTGTTCTCCGATTGGTTTTTGAATGTTATAATTCTTGACGTCTGATTTGTGTCCATTTATTCTTTTATGTAGAGACTGTCCGGTTTGGCCAATGTACATGACAGAGGGGCATTGCTGGCACATGATAGCATGTATCACATTGGTAGATGTGCAGGTGAATGAGCATCTGATAGTGTGGCTGATGTGATTAGGCCCTATGATGGTGTCCCCTGAATAGATATGTGCACACAGTTGGCAATGGGCTTTGTTGCAAGGATAGGTTCCTGGGTTAGTGGTTCTGTTGTGTGATGTGTGGTTGCTGGAGAGTATTTGCTTCAGGTTGGGGGGTTGTCTGTAAGCAAGGACTGTCCCGTCTCCCAAGATCTGTGAGAGCGATGGGTCGTCCTTCAGGATAGGTTGTAGATCCTTGATGATGCGTTGGAGAGGTTTTTGTTGGGGGCTGAAGGTGATGGCTAGTGGCGTTCTGTTATTTTCTTGTTGGGCCTGTCCTGTAGTAGGTGACTTCTGGGTACTCTTCTGGCTCTGTCAATCTGTTTCTTCACTTCAGCAGGTGGGTATTGTAGTTGTAAGAACGCTTGATAGAGATCTTGTAGGTGTTTGTCTCTGTCTGAGGGGTTGGAGAAAATGCGGTTGTATCATAGAGCTTGGCTGTAGACAATGGATCGTGTGGTGTGGTCTGGATGAAAGCTGGAGGCATATAGGTAGGCATAGTGGTCAGCAGGTTTCCGGTATAGGGTGGTGTCATAAATATAAAGGGAAGGGTAAACCCCTTTGAAATCCCTCCTGGCCAGGGGAAAGCTCCTCTCACCTGTAAAGGGTTAAGAAGCTAAAGGTAACCTCGCTGGCACCTGACCAAAATGACCAATGAGGAGACAAGATACTTTCAAAAGCTGGGAGGAGGGAGAGAAACAAAGGGTCTGTGTGTCTGTCTTATGCTGGTTTTCTGCCGGGGATAGACCAGGAATGGAGTCTTAGAACTTTTAGTAAGTAATCTAGCTAGGCATGTGTTAGATTATGATTTCTTTAAATGGCTGAGAAAAGAATTGTGCTGAATAGAATAACTAATTCTGTCTGTGTATCTTTTTTGTAACTTAAGGTTTTGCCTAGAGGGGTTCTCTATGTTTTTGAATCTAATTACCCTGTAAGATATCTACCATCCTGATTTTACAGGGGGGATTTCTTTATTTCTATTTACTTCTATTTTTATTAAAAGTCTTCTTGTAAGAAAACTGAATGCTTTTTCATTGTTCTCAGATCCAAGGGTTTGGGTCTGTGGTCACCTATGCAAATTGGTGAGGCTTTTTATCCAACATTTCCCAGGAAAGGGGGGGTTGCAAGTGTTGGGAGGATTGGTCATTGTTCTTAAGATCCAAGGGTCTGGGTCTGTAGTCACCTAGGCAAATTGGTGAGGCTTTTTACCAAACCTTGTCCAGGAAGTGGGGTGCAAGGTTTTGGGAAGTATTTTGGGGGGAAAGACGCGTCCAAACAGCTCTTCCCCAGTAACCAGTATTAGTTTGGTGGTGGTAGCGGCCAATCCAAGGACAACGGGTGGAATATTTTGTACCTTGGGGAAGTTTTGACCTAAGCTGGTAAAGATAAGCTTAGGAGGTTTTTCATGCAGGTCTCCACATCTGTACCCTAGAGTTCAGAGTGGGGGAGGAACCTTGACAGGTGGTGTTTATGTGACCATCACTTATCAGCACCGTAGTGTCCAGGAAGTGGATCTCTTGTGTGGACTGGTCCAGGCTGAGGTTGATGGTGGGATGGAAATTGTTGAAATCATGGTGGAATTCCTTAAGGGCTTCTTTTCTATGGGTCCAGATGATGAAGATGTCATCAATGTAGCGCAAGTAGAGTAGGGGCATTAGGGGACGAGAGCTGAGGAAGTGTTGTTCTAAGTCAGCCATAAAAATATTGGCATACTGTGGGGCCATGCGGGTACCCATACCAGTGCCGCTGATTGGAAGGTATACATTGTCCCCAAATGTGAAATAGTTATGGGTGAGGACAAAGTCACAAAGTTCAGCCACCAGGTTTGCCGTGACATTATCGGGGATACTGTTCCTGACGGCTTGTAGTCCATCTTTGTGTGGAATGTTGGTGTAGAGGGCTTCTACATCCATAGTCGCTAGGATGGTGTTTTCAGGAAGATCACTGATGGATTGTAGTTTCCTCAGGAAGTCAGTGGTGTCTCAAAGATAGCTAGGAGTGCTGGTAGCATAGGGCCTGAGGAGGGAGTCTACATAGCCGGACAATCCTGATGTCAGGGTGCCTGAGATGCCTGAGATGATGGGGCGTCCAGGATTTCCAGGTTTATGGATATTGGGTAGCAGACAGAATACCCCTGCTTGGAGTTCTAGGGGTGTGTCTGTGCGGATTTGTTCTTGTGCTTTTTCAGGGAGTTTCTTGAGCAGATGGTGTAGTTTCTTTTGGTAACCCTCAGTGGAATCAGAGGGTAATGGCTTGTAGTATGTGGTGTTGGAGAGCTGCCTAGCAGTCTCTTGTTCATATTCCAACCTATTCATAATGACAACAGCACCTCCTTTGTCAGCCTTTTTGATTATGATGTCAGAGTTGTTTCTGAGGCTTTGCATGGCATTGTGTTCTGTACGGCTGAGGTAATGGGGAAAGTGATGCTGCTTTTCCACAATTTCGGCCCGTGCACATCGGCGGAAGCACTCTATGTAGAAGTCCAGTCTGTTGTTTCGACCTTCAGGAGGAGTCCACCCAGAATCCTTCTTTTTGTAGTGCTGGTAGGAATGTCTCTGTTAGTATGATGTTCAGAGGTGTGTTGGAAATATTCCTTGAGTCGGAGACATTGAAAATAGGATTCTAGGTCTCCACAGAACTGTATCATGTTCGTGGGGGTGGAGGGGCAGAAGGAGAGACCCCGAGATAGGACAGTTCTTCTGCTGGGCTAAGAGTATAGCTGGATAGATAAACAATATTGCTGGGTGGGTTAAGGGAACCACTGTTGTGGCCCCTTGTGGCATGAGGTTATGATTCAACATGTTTTCATAGGGCATCGAAGTGTCAAGTCTCAGTAAGATAGGTGCACTGGAGCTATTCTGAAGTGCTTAAACAATAAGAGATCCCAGTCATGCTGAAGTGCTATTCCTTAAAAAAGGCATTAGGGCCTGCCCCGAAGTACAGGTATACCTACACCTGTTCTAAGGCCTATCCTGAGGCATCACTGTGCCAAAATGCCAAGGTCCTGAGTTCTGAGGCATGATATACTGAACTTGGTCAGGTGCTGTTGCAGTGAGCTCCAACATTCCAATATGCTGAACTCTGATGCACACCACACTCTACTAAAGCTGTGCCAAGTTTTATTCTGAGGCTTCACAGTTGGTTGCTGCATTGAAGTCATTTCCAGATGCCTTGAGGTCACCAGTGCCTATTCTGAGGCTTTGAGGGCCAAACTTCTGAGTCATCAAACTCCGAAGCTATATTTCCAGCCCCAAAGCTATTTTCAATGCCCAAGTTGCTCCTAGGCTCCAGGTAGGTCCAGATGCTGGGCTTCCATGTTGCTCACAGACACAATTGTTTACTGTACACTGAACCTTTAAACTTCTCAAGGCTTGACACATCCAGAGACCTCACAATGCCACATCAAATTCTGACAGTGACACACTTACAGCAGTCTGGCTGCACTGAGAATGATGTCTCTGCAGATTAACTGCCCTGGCACAACTGGTCAGGAGAGTGGAGACTAAAATTGCCATATCCCTTTAACAAGGATAGGGGTGCATGTACAAAGCCAGAGTGCTGGCAAAAAAAACAACAAAAAAACTAAAACCCTCTCAAAGTTGAATATCCCACTTACTGATGGCTTTGTGGGATGCAACCCTCCAAAACTTTTCTGCTTTGCGTATTCCAAGACAGTCTCACACTACAGGTTGAGATCCAAGAGCAAGTATCAAAGAGTGAAAATCCCGTGGTGATAGTATCCCTAAGAAAATCATACATACTTTCCCCAGATCTCTTCAAGTTTTAAAATCATTGGGTTGAGACAACTTCAATATGTAATTTCCTTGCTCTTGTGAATAATTGTTTTTAACTTTCTAATTTGTATTATTTGATTTTAAATATTCATATTAATGACCAAGTTATAAAAAGACTGATGTATAATCTAAATTAAATATTTACATAAAACACATCAACCTTAAAATCACACTTGTTAGAATTTTTTAACCTACTATTGTTACAACTAATATCTCAGATTATTGTTACAACTAATATCTCAGATTACTGTAACCAAAAGAGATTAATTATTTTTCTATTTTCAGTTTGCTTTGTGCATTTGATAGTGCTCTTTATATAATCATTTGTACTGTTTTCCAGTCAGCCAGTTAGTCATTTTCTCTTATTGTTTGTAAATGACTTTTACATAGCAAAAGAAGGGAGAAAAACATTTTTAAAAGAACAATGATTATTAAACCGCAAATACTGGCGAGAACACAAGGGCACTCATAGTATATAGAACTATTTTAAACTTTATAAATATGACTAGATTTCAGGTTGATGGGTTCACTTTCAATACTGATACAAATCCTAAAAATACAAGAAACATATGCTACTTTTCACATATTTATGCCAAAAACATACTGTGTGGGAGCTTCGGTTCCTTTGAATGTTTCTGAAGAAAGTTTTTTGGAGATGGTACTTCAATTTTTGGTGGTCCCATAGTTTTCCATGGAGCTCTATTTTCTTCTATTTCATGTTTCACAGATGCTCTAAATGTCGATATATATCTTTAATGTTAAAAAAATAACCAGAAAGTAGTTAAAAGTCAGAAAGTACTATATGTATATATTGCACTCTTTGTCTATAGCTAATATTCAAATAAATTCTGTGGCTCCACAAAAATACTTTGGGTACTGAATACAAAAAGTAAGACATTATAGCAACATTTTTGTGAGATTAAGGCATAATTTTCATTGCACACATTGCTTGGTCTTCTTTTTAAATCATCTGCATCTTAAAATAACATTTTCTTGTGGGTCTTCAATCCAGCATGATTAGCACATCAACTTCATTATACTTTGTTCAAAGATCATTCAAAATATGCATACAGTGTTTCTGAATGAAGACTTACACTACATTCATAGACCTTTCCAGAGTTAGTATATACAGTATAGGGAGAGAGCAAGCCACAATATACAATACATACTTTACATAGCATTCCTCCAAAAAAGGCAGCTTCTGCCAATGGACAGAGCAAAGAACCACATTATTAGTTATTATTATTAATAATTATTATTATTGGTATTACTGTAGCACCTAGGAGCCCTAGGCATAGACCAGAACCCCACTGTGCTAGGCACTGTACACGTTTTTAGATGATATTGAAATCACTTATATTGAGGCCAAAAACTTACTATTTTTCAAAAATGGATAAGACATTTATATTGACTATGATAGCATCCATAGTTACATTAGATAAGCTAAAATTATATTATAAAGGTATACACAGCCTCATGCTTCAGAACATATGTTAACCACCTACTGATGGGGGTTGTGTAGAAACCTCTCCTATGGGTGTGTTATTTTGTAATTGCCCCCTGGCTGCAGGGTTTCTTTCACCATCATCTGAAGGATCTGGTACTGGCTAATGTCAGAGTCTAGACTAAAAGGACCATTGGTTGGAGCCAGTACAGCAAGTTCTATGTTTCAATATCATACACAGTAACTCCTCACTTAAAGTCATCCCGGTTAACGTTGTTTCGTTATTACGTTGCTGATCAATTAGGAAACATGCTCGTTTAAAGCTGCGCAAAGCTCCTTTATAATGTTGTTTGGCAGCTGCCTGCTTTGTCCACTGCTTGCAGGAAGAGCAGCCCGTTGCAGCTAGGTGGTGGGGGCTTGGAACCAGGGTGGACTGGCAGCCCCCCATCAGCTCCCCGCTCCCATAAGTTCCCTGTGCATAGCTGCCCAGGAGGCTATCAATTGCCCGCAGTTCAGCTGTCCCTCCCCCCACTGCCATGTGCTGCTCCTGCCCTCTGCCTTGCAGCTGCTCCCAGGAGCCTCCTGCTTGCTGTGCGGTGGAGCGGGGAAAGAGGGGAGCTAATGTCAGGGTGTCCCCCTCCCCCCGCTCCTGCCCCCCGCTTACCCCTTCTCCATATAGAGCAGGGTGGGGACATCACAGGGCTCAGGAAGGAGAGAGCTTGCTGGCCGCAGCTGCTGTCTCAACTTGCTGATCTTTTAAAAGGGCAGTGTACAGATTTTAAGGGCAGTGTACAGATTTTAAAAGGGCAGTGTACAGAGAGTGGGGTCAGCGTACTTAAAGGGGCAATGCGCATCTCTCTCTCTCTTCCACACACAGGGTGTGTGTCTCTGTCTCTGTCTGCCATGCTGTCTCCCCTCTCTCCATTCATGCTGCCTTGTACAGTGTGAGGCTACATTAACAATGTGTTAACCCTTGAGGGCTCAGCCGAATGCTAGTTCATCATTTAGCAATAAGGCATTCCCTGGGAAATATCCCACCCTCTTCCACCCTCTAACTTCACCACCTCAACCAAGCTTCACAATCATCATTGCTGTGTACAGTATTAAATTGTTTGTTTAAAACTTATACTGTTTGTGTATATATATATATATATAGCTTTTTGTCTGGTGAAAAAAATTTCCCTGGAACCTAACCCCCCCATTTACATTAATTCTTATGGGAAAATTGTATTTGCTTAACATCGCTTTGCTTAAACTTGGATTTTTCAGGAACATAACTACATTATGTTATGTTACATAACTACATTAAGCAAGGAGTTACTGGACTTCTTATATGGCATAGGGCTGATCCTGAACGACTGAAATCAATGGCAATTTTGTCATTGGCTTCAGTGAGTGCAGATTTAGATCTAAGGCATGAAAGAATATATACTATATGTCCATAATTCTGGACATGATATTTATAATGCAATAAGGTTATTCTCCTTGAGAATGGCACCCTAACTTAGTTTGTCCAAAGGGATGCTTACTTGTGTGACAAAACCTAAAAGGAACGATAACAACAACAAAAAAAGACTAATGGATTTATTGGCACATCTATCTGTTCTCAAGATACGGATCTCTTATGGTATCAAATTGTAGTACCCACAAACTGTTTTTTGTTAATAATAATACATAATAATAACATTAAGATTAAAACTGGAATGTCTCAGACAAAGTCACAGAATGAACTGTGCAGTCCTCTCAAATGGCTAAACCCTAAGCTGTTACCCAACAATCTGTGATGCATTTTCAAGTACGGTAAAGGCAAAAAAAGACAATATATATAGTACAACTTAGTTAACCAAAAAGAACAGAAGGAATTACTTTGGTTAAACAAGTTCAGCTGAATGGGAGTCACGGTAGCAACATTAATGAAAATGTGCACAGAAGGAAAAGTGTTGCAAGTGTCAGACAGATCATTTATTTTTATTACAGTCTTTAGATGTGGGTGATCTAAAAGACAGGGAATCACCCAGGTTAACAGGGAGACTGGGATTCAAGAGATTTCAAATAAATAGTACTGTACTGTACTATTTTGTTTTGCCTGAAAAATACTTTGATTGTGTGACTTATGGGTGGAATCCTGTACAGCTGTCTTCTAGGTACAACCAGATCATGAATAAAAGTGAATGGATAGAACAGGTTGCAACTACCATGGCTCAGAGCTTGTAAAACCAGAGACAGTGGTGTTCGAATTAAGGTGAATTTCCACTTCCTTCCTGTAGAGGTCCCCTATGTTTTTGATCACGTAAATAAGAAATGCCTAGCATTTCTCTAAGTTGATGACAGGATTTTTCAGAATTGTTGGGTTTTTCATTTGAGAATCTGCTTTCCTTCTTCAATCATGCAAGCTAATCTACTGAGATCCAGACATTGAGGTTACGGTCTCTGACCTTTGGGTAGGAGATAGAGCTTCCTTCTCATACAATTTAAAAACTGGAGAACAAAAAAGAAATGCAGATCTTTTGACATGAAGGAGGAGAAGGGTCTTAGGATAGCTTCTCTCCTTGACTATTCTTATACCATGTCATTGGATTTCCCTCTCTTTCTACCCAAACGTGAATTAGACAAGTCCCTTTTAGTGTGCTAAATGTTTTGTGTAACTTACAAGACAAAGTGAAGGAAATGATTTTTCAGTTATGGAGGATGCAGACAATGGGCTATTGAGGGTAGTGATGCAACAGAATGTAAATTAAAAGCTCCTCAGGGCAGAAAACACCTTCCTCTCTATTTTGTATAATGCCAAGAGCATTGTTGGTATACATTAAATAATAAATAATGAAAAATGAAGGGGCCTGCAACATGCTCCATTTTTCATATATTAATGGTGTAGAACCCAGGAATGTGACAAATTAGCAATGTGGACCCCTTAGTTGGGCAAAGAATGGACATGTTTGTCCTGGTAACTCATTAACACTTCCATTTATTTTATAAAAGGAGTGCACAAAAGGTTGTATTAAATTTGGTTTGTTTTTATATAACAATGGTTAGTAACAAGCCATAGCAAGTGTGTTATCTGGATATATATTTACAGCTTCGCCATATCAGTTCCCCATGTGAGCTAATATTCCCCATGTGAGCTAATAAAAACTGGAGTGTATTTGACAAAATCACAGAACAAACTGATTTTTTCTTACCCACATACCTTGGTAGTTTGATAGGCTTCTCCTCCACCCGGGGTAGGAGATTATATATGCTCTCTTGGGCACACAGCGCTGTCATCCTTGACCTGATGGGGCACATGGGGATAATACATTTACACTGTATGAACTGTTGAGGAATCTCAGTTCCTCTTTATCTGCCTCCCTTTCTCCCTCTGTTTTTTTTCATCCCCCACACTACTCCCTCCTTTTCCACCATTCTCATTCTTTCCAGCCCTTCTCTCTTCCTCTGCTCCCTCCTTTCTCTCCTACGACCCTCTCCCACACCATCTCTTCATTCCTCCTCCTCTCCAGCACACTATTCCCTCTCTCCCGCTCATTCCCCTCCTATCGACATCACCCCCGCTTCCCCCCAACCCGTCCCCGTGGCTCCCTCCTTCCCTCACCCTGCTCCGCTTGGTTTCGGCTCAGAGAAGATGCTGCTGCTGCTTCTAGGGATTTGCCGACTGTTGTCTCTTCAGTTGCTATGGGAAACTATTGCTTAGTAACGCCTTTGTGTGGAGGGGTGGGGCTATTTGTGACCTCACTTCCGTCTCTCTGAGCCCGCCAGCAAGTTAGGGACGGTACTCAACACTAAGAATGGGAAGATGGATGCTGCGCAAGCGCACTATGCTGAGCAGGGTGGGAGAGCCCCGGTGGCTGCGCAGGCGCACGAGCGCTGACGTAGGACGGATGCTGAGAAATGATTGCTCACGAGCTGTTGTTGCCCTGCGTTGGGAGGCGCATGCGCACCGCGGAGCTGGTTGGTGCGGTGCCGAGGGGGACCAAATTCCAACTTGGCACGGGAGGATGGGCCGTTGAATCTCACGTTGCTCTGCCTGCGGTGCGGTTAATGTCTGGGTTCTGAACCTCCCTCCCGGCCCCTCCCGGGTACGTTTGACTCTCAGTGACTCATTTTAGGACCTATACTGAGTTACGGGGGTTCTGCCCGTCTTCGAAGGGCGTTGCAGTGACGAGGTAGCCGTATCCCTCCGCCCCTTGAGGGGTCCCTATGGCCGCGCGGGGTCAGCCGTATGTCTCCGGCCCTTGAGGGGTCCCTATAGCCGCGCGCGGTCAGCCGTATCCCTCCGCCCCTTGAGGGGTCCCCATTGCAGTGAGGGGGCAGCTGTATCTCCACCATCCCCCTGAGGGGGAGGTCCCCATTGCAGTGAGGGGGCAGCTGTATCTCCACCATCCCCCTGAGGGGGAGGTCCCCATTGCTGCGGGGCAGCTGCCTTTTCTCCCCATCCGGCCTAAAATGAAGTGCTCAATATCTCATTGTTTATTATAAATTCAATTTCATAGTAATAACAGAGAAAATGTTGGTAGGCCCGGTTGAAGAAGTTAGGTCTATATACTCTAATTTTCCTCTGAAACATAGTTTGTTTCTTGTAGTATATTGAAAAACAAAACTACCCCTAAGTGGAGCCTGGAATCTATGTTGTATCCATTTTCTGCTTTTTTCTCAGGGGAGATGATAAAACCGTTCTGAGTTACATTCCCTCTTTTTTTCTTTACAGCTCCCTTCCACATCTATTGACATTTTGTAATGGATCTTTCTTTAGAATATGAAAAGCTCCTCAGCGCAGGGACCTCATCCTTTTATGTGTCACTGTAAAACATCACATAAATCTGTAGTGGTATATATAATTACATACAACAAAATTAAGTTAAGAGAAAATTAAGGTTGCAACATCAAGTATTCAGAAGTTAGCAGGTGCCAGAATTAAGGTTGTCTGTGCATCCTTAATTCGGCCCTCTTGTGTGTATGCATTGTGATATCGTCTTTAATTTCATGATCATGTATTATTTTTTCCACGGGACTCCAGCCTCATTCAATGTACAGGATGAATGGTGCTCATTGAATAGGTAGCTATTCAATATTTGGTTGTATTCTGACCATTCAGTGTATGACCCCATGGCTTATATACTGCACACCCTTCATAGCCTGCTCTGAACATATTTCTTAATTTTTTCATGGGCTTTGTTATGGTGCTCTTCAGTTTAGTATCTGAGGTCCGAAACCTAAGGTATTTAGGTGCCTAACTCACATTGAAATCAGTGGGAGTTACGCACTTAAATACCTTTAAGGATCTGGGCCTGAGTCTTCTCAAACATTGATAAATTTATCTTCACAACTCCATGGTTAGGTAAGATGGTGGTATTATGCCCATTTTACAGATGAAGAACTGAAGCAAGCAGAGATTAAGGTCAAAAGTGTCTTCCACCAGTGAGTGCCCAATTTGAGACATCTAAGTCTTGATTTTTTTCAGAGTATTTAGCATTCTATAGCACTTTGTTTGCTCAGAGCAGAATTCCCATTGAATTCAGTTGCAGTTATGTGTTCAGCACTTCTGCAAATCAGGTACCAGTATCTCAAGTTACGCACTAAAAAAATGAGGAAAAACAATCAATAGATTCCAAGGCCAGAAGGGACCATTATGATTATTTAGTCTGACCTCCTGTATAACACAGGCCATAGAACTTCCTCAAAATAATTCCTCAAACATATCTTTTAGCAAAACATCTAATCTTGATTTAAAAATTTCCCATGATGGAAAATGCATGTGACCCTTGGTAAATTGTTCCACTAGCTAATTACCATCACTGATAAAAAGTTACACCTTGTTTCCTGTGAATTTGTCTAGCTTCCACTTCTAGCCATTGGATATCTTTTTTGATTGAGGAGATCATTCTCAAATATTTGTTCTCCATGTACATTCTTGTAGACTATAATCAAGTCATCCCTTAACCTTTTTTAAAATAATTAACTTCAAATCAGACATCCAGATGTGGTATTTAGGAATTCTACATTGGGTTGTTTATTCATTTGTTCTCATTGAGGACTAGTGGCTTGCATGTTTTTGAAAAATGGGGATGATTAATTTTTGAGTGATACACTACACCCTCGAGGACTTCCTCTGGGAGCCAGCTGAATTTTGCTGTATTCTTTGGGTGAGTACATAAAATTAGCTGACTCCATCAGGGCCAGTGAATGCCACCCAGGATTTGAACTCTAGGCTCTTATAAACTCTGCAAGATAGAGACAGCCACCAGGACAAAGGATCTCTTTGATTCTATAGAGCTAATACGTTTTACAGGCTCCTCATTCCTGTGGCTCTTTGTGTTATCTGTCTTCCATGCTCATTGTAACTGATGCACATTTTTATATCTAATCCACAACAATGAATCTCCAAACATTTACTACTGTCTACTATTCACTATATGTCACAAAGTCAAAGCAGCTGTCTGCAACATATTTAAAACTCTTCCATCTGCTCATCTCTGTATCGAATAGTGGGTTTAAATAAAATAAAATAAACCCCCTACACTTAATTTTATTTCTCTGTGGAAGTCTGTAGTGTTGTCATCTGCCTACAACAGATACCAACTCAGACCTCATCCTGTCTACAAATACTAGGCGTAGATCAGAGTATCTCATTCTGTAAAACAGCAGTGTATGCTATGCAACTTTGCCTGTTGTGTATGAAGGACAGTGGGCAGTTGTATGCATGCAGTGTATTGCTTTTTAATTGTTAATTATTTTAAAATGTGAAAAGTAGTTTTAATATTTATTATTGCCTCAAAATGGCTGATTCACAGTTTGTGATAGGTTATAAGACCAGAAATAAACTTGTTTGTGTAAATTTTATTTTTGAATTTCTAGAGTTTCAAATGTTAGAGTTTTTTAATTTTTTCAGGTACAGCATTTTAGTATGTTTGCTTCCTGATTTTGTAATTTGTTATTACCATCTTAACTGTCTTCATGAAGTCTTTGTTCAGGACTAGAATTTATTACTATATCTATTTCCCCATATTATTGGTTAGTAATAGTAAAGCATCGTATCATCATTAATTTTCAGACTACTAATTTTTGTGCCTTTGCATAATCTAGAATGCCAGAAGATTTCAGAAGTGTTTAAATATAATGTTATTAAGCAAGTAGGCAGAATACTGGACCCAGACCAAATCCTTAAAATCTAATTATTAGGAACAGCGGGGTCTAATTTTGCTTTTGAGTCAAGAAATCTGTGCAAAAACCTTCCAAAAAACCACAGCTGAACCCACTTATCCTGTGCCAGCACAGTGGGTTTTTTAGCAATTAAAAGTTAATTTTAAACTATTGCTATTTTTGTTTTATGTAGGTTTGAGGATTTTTTGTTTTCATGGCTTTTACTGTAACTGTGTACAGGTTATGGATAACTTTTAAAAATGTGATCCTGAGTTAAGTTAGTTAAATTTTTGGCCTGGAAAATAAACACTGGTCATTTTGTAGTTACTTTTTAAAATATTCTTGGCAGTTTTAATGTTGCTATCCCAAACATAATCAATGATATAGCAATTGTAAATACCCAGTATGGCCACTGTCTTGCATGGCAGGAATGACCTTAAAAAGTCATTAATAACCATCAATATGTAAATGATTATTTTTTAGATTCATTATAGATTAATTTCCCAAAGAAACTGTGACAACCCTGTTTATTTTAAATAATAATTTTTAGCTAATATCCATTAGCAAATAACAGTAACAGAGCAGCAGGTTTTTTTATGTATAAAATGGAAAGAGGCTCGGTAAGGCTTTTGTGCAGTTTTGTGGTTATCATTTCCTCTTGTGTGAAGATTTTGACTATCCCTAAACATCACACAGAATTTCTGCTCTGCAATTCATGTTGACACTCGCACTGATTTCCCAAAACAAGCAAAATAGGATGCTGCTATTGAGAACAGCTTGATTTATCAGTATTTATCTCTCACACCAAGGTTATTCTGAGAGTAAAGTCACTTCTGTGACATCCACTTCACTCTATTTTCTTTCTTTAATTCTGTTCAATCTCCATCAAATGTAAAAACAAATATGATTTCACCCTAGGAATACTTGAGATACTGTTTGATCAGTATCATGTCTACCTAGAAAGGAATTGGATGAGCTAGAGCCAGAATTCCTACAGCAGGTTCATGAGTTTACTATGAGTTTAAATGGGTTGTGTAGCATTCCCTACTTTGTTGTCTTAAAGAACAAAAAACAAAACCCCAAACATCTACATGTAGGGCAAATATTTTATAACACGTTTTTAGGTTGTGTAAAGATAAACATTTAGTCTGCCTTCATTGTCAATAAGGGGCTGTGTGTGTTTAAAAATAAATCTATGCTATTAAGGAAACAATTGTTGAATATTTATATACTAACAAGTAGGAATAATAAACATGTGTTAGTATATATTTCAGCATTATAGCATTAGGTTTTGAGGGCGGTTTTAACAGCCAACTATTCTTATTTATCCTGAGGATATCGGCCTCAAAAGTTAATATTGAGTGTGCATCCAACACCTACCATTTTGCAATTAATTGTGAGTAGTTCAGCGTACAACCCTTAGCTGAGCCTACTGACAGAGATAGGGCACACAGAAAGAGACTCATTCCTCTATGTTGTGTACTACAGATCGTCTTCCTTTTGGGACAGCGACAAAAAGACATCAGATCTGAGAAATTGAGTTTTGGGTGTCTGGTAACATCTTTAGAAATCCTGCAAAATTTCAACATTTAAAAAAAAATAAACTAAATTTTGTATGCAGGTGTAGTATGAGGGGAAATTATTTTCTAAAATCTTGCATTGCTGAAAGATTTGTCACTAAAAGTGAGATGGTACTCTGTAAAAGGTCAGGATGTATTTTTTCACTGATAAATATTTACCCCTGTGGCATTCTGAGAGACACTCTCATAATTAGCTTTGTATTCTAAGGGACTGATTTTTTTAATTTCACATCTCGAAGGTTTTTTAGGTATGTTTCTATGAATTACTAATTACTTTTTTTTCCTCTTTATAGTATTTAAGTTACTTGTCAAGTTAGCTTGAAAAAGCAGCGGAAAGAAGATGTTTCATGTTGTTCGGTATCAGCATCTAAAATTAACCCAGAACATTGGTTTTAGTGTACGTCTAAAGTTGATTTTTCCAAGAACTCTTGCATTTGTACAACTGTGGAAGTCATGGCTCTCAACTCTCTCTCTTGTTGGAGACCAGAATATTGTCCTGATGGGACCTCCTGGAGCTGGGAAGACAACAGTTGGGAGAATAGTAGGTCACAAACTCGGCTGTCGTGTCATAGATGTGGATGATGATGTCCTTGAAACAACCTGGAATATGAGTGTGTCAGAAAAATTGCAGGATGTTGGTAGTCGACAATTTATAGAAGAGGAAGGAAAAGCCCTGTTAAAGTTTTCAGCATCTGGAAGTGTAATTTCCCTTTCTGGGTCGAATCCAATGCATGCTGCCAGCATGCAGCATGTGAAGAAAAATGGGATTGTTGTGTATCTGGATGTACCCACAAGAGACATAATAGATAGGCTGGAATTAATGAAAGTGGATCGTATTGTGGGGCAGGATTCTGGAATTTCTATGAGAGACATACTTCAGTTTAGGAAGCAATTTTATAAAAAATGGTATGATATTCGTGTTCTTTGTGAAGGTGGACTTACAGCAGAGGTTGTAGCAGATAAAGTACTTGATGCAGTTAAGAGATATCAAGACTCAGAATCAGAAACTTTTATTTCAACCAGACATATAAGGTCTGAAATGTGTGAGCAAAAAGGCTCTGTTAAATATTTCACTGAAGCTGTTGTTGAGGGCCTAGCATCTGATGGTGGACTCTTTGTTCCTGAGAAGGGGCTTCCAACATTCACTGCTGGAGAATGGCAAAGCTTAGTAGAAGCAACTTACGTTGAAAGAGCTCAGGTTATATTGGAAAGATTTATACATCCTGCTGATATACCTGCTTTCAAGCTGGGAGAAATTGTTGAGATTGCTTATGGAGAAAACTTTACTTGTTCTAAAATTGCCCCTCTTAGGTATCTGACAGGCAACCAGTTTCTCCTTGAGTTGTTTCATGGACCAACAGCCTCATTTAAGGATTTGGCGTTACAGTTGATGCCTCATCTATTTGCATACTGTGTTCCCAAAAGATGCAATTATTTGGTCCTAGTAGCTACTTCTGGAGACACAGGGAGTGCTGTCCTAGATGGTTTTAGTCGTCTTAGTGATACTGACAAACAAAGGATTGCTGTGGTCACTTTCTTTCCTGAGGATGGAGTAAGCCAGATTCAGAAATCACAGATGATTGGCTGCCAAAGAGAAAATGGGTGGTCAGTGGGAGTCAAATCTGATTTTGATTTTTGCCAGACAGCTATAAAAAAAATATTTACCAATTCTGATTATTCTGGCTTTCTTACTGTAGAATATGGAACAGCTTTAAGTGCAGCAAATTCTATAAACTGGGCTCGACTACTTCCCCAAGTTATTTATCATGCCTCTGCCTACCTTGACCTTGTTCATCAAGATATTATTACTTTTGGAAGCCCAATAGATGTGTGTATTCCTACAGGAAACTTTGGCAACATATTAGCTGCATTATATGCAAAAAGGATGGGAATCCCTATCAGAAAATGTATTTGTGCATCCAATGGAAATAATGTTTTGACCGATTTCATAAGAACAGGTCTTTATGATTTAAGGGGAAGAAGATTAATGCAGACTTCATCACCAGCAATAGATATTTTGAAATCTTCCAACCTTGAACGACATTTGCACCTGATTGCTAGTGGTGATGGACAGCTGGTGACACAATTATTTAGTGAGCTGGAAAAGCAATGTCACTTTCAGTTGCAGAAAGATCTACTTGAGAAGCTTCAGCAAGACTTGGTGGCTGGGTGGTGCTCTGAGGAGGACTGTCTTGCTGCTATCCACTCTGTATACAGTACTACAGGGTATATTTTGGACACGCACACGGCTATTGCTAAAGTAGTTGCAGATCGATTACAGGATAGAACATGTCCAGTTATCATTTCATCTACAGCTCATTATTCCAAGTTTGCACCTGCTATCCTGCGGGCTTTGAGGATTGCAGAAATAAAACAGAATCCTTTAAGTCAGCTTCACTTGCTGAGTTCTTACAGTCCTTTGCCTCCAGTCCATAGGGGCCTGTTAAAGACATTGAAAGAGAACGAAAAGCAGAAACATCAGATCTGTGCTGCTGATGTGAATGTCATGATGGCACATATAGAAACTGTAATACAAAATAAGTTTATGAAAGTTTTCTAAGTAAATTTACTTGGTGTTTATTATATCAATTTAAATATTTTCTTCACTAAAAAGTCATATTTTAATAAATGCATAGTACACAAGGTCTTTGGCAAGTTTATATTCTGAGTATACTTTCTCATTTTCATGTTCCGCTAAAACATTTTAACATTGATTTTAAAATTTTTTGCATGCATGTGAGAATTCTAATTCGGGTGAACGGTTCTTGTTTGAAAGCCCAAGAGACCGAGGGGCTCTTTTACAGAAAAAGTGCAGTAGTGCACGCTTCCCCACAAAACCCTGGCAGTGTGCCTCAATCCTGACTTGAGAGCGAGCACTTCTAAGGTGAAAGAATCATCCTATCTGAAACTGCTAACAAGTGCTCCAGTTGTGTTGTTGTGTATGTGGTATGTGCTGTGAATACTTTCCACTGGAAATTTAGCTAAACATTAATCTAACATGGGGCATTCAAAAGCCTTCAGGTGTAGTAACAGCTTTCATCTTCTCTTCATCTGGGATATATTTAAACTGGAATCCTTGAAGTTAAATTACCTATATCTTATTATCCACACAATCCTACAATATTTTAATATGCTCTCTCTGTATATATTGTTTTTGTATTGACTATGTAATCACATATTCTTGTTCAGTGTCAAAACATTTTTTTTGTCTTGCCATAGGGGACAGTATTTTTCCTTAACCTCGAGCCTGTATGTTTTATTATCACCTTTTAAAGCATATTTTTTCCCTGAATGTGCTTGCAACTTCCATTAGCCTCTGCTGAGGCTTTTCTATTTGAGCTCACAAGTTTATTGCACCATCTTACCAAATAGTAGAAGATAGTAATATCAGAAGCCTTCTTGAATAAGTGTAAATTAAAATATTCAATTGTTGAATTCCCATCCTTTTTCTCAAATTTTATGTTTGTGTTCAGGGACACCCCCCTCCCCCCCAAGCTTCTGGGGATATTCAAAATTACTTTTATTTTTATGTCCTCTGTAATTTTCTCCCCTTGATTTTTGAGTGGTTTTTGTGTATCTGAGAAGCCACAGAAAACAATTAGCCGAAGATTGAGGCAAATGTTCTTTTAAAAAAAAAAGCTTCTAAAATTGGATGCTACTGCACCTTATCCATCCTTGCTAAGGCAATCTATTTTAGGTCACATGGTCAAGTTATCCTTTCTGTATCAGCTAATGACTAGTGGTTTAATAGGTTTTTTGCATCAAAAATAATAGATCTGGATGTCAAAGTGCAAAACTATCTTAGATGAGATTACCATATATCTACTAATTGTAGATTGTATTTGGCAATCAAAGGGGTAAAGTTTAAGTACCCGCTACATGATATACTGTTACCAAGCACATTATAAGCTGATTGAAACAGGAATGGTTTGTATATGTTATATGATAAATATTACAAATAATAGCTTCTCATGTATATTAAAGGTGTATCCACTACAAAGTTATGTGTGCATATGTAATATGTAGTTTTCTTTTCCTTCCCTTTGCTATTCTCTAATAGCTTTTCAGGACATCTCTGGTTATTTTTTCTGCTGTTTTTAGCTCTATCGCACATACATTTTTTTAACACAGTAATGCTAGAATCACGCTTTGTATTCTTATCTTCAGAAACGAGGCCCAAAAATAAGTGATGAAATGCTAACTGCTGGCATTTAATGCAGTACATCATTGGGGCTTAGAAAAAGGTAGTGCGAGTTTATTACTGAAAAGCGTTGATGGTGCATCATGTTAGTGCACGACAACCCTTTCACTTCTGGAGCTCTGAGTTTGAATTCTTCCTTTTGGTCCCAAGTAACAATAAATGTGATTGTCTTACCATATGTGCTCATTACAAAACCTGTACTGCAATAAGCTAATAGGGATGTTTCAGGATAGGGTGGGGTGGTTGCAGCACTGAAACTCAGACCATTCCTGTTTGCCGTCTCTTTCATGAGTATTAAAACTTACACACTTACATTACGGTTTAAGGTATCTAAGAAGAGAAACTTGATATAATAAACAATATAGAGCAAAGGAAAACAGAACATAAACAAGATTAAGCTAAAAGTCAAAGGCCTGTGTAGGAGTGGTATAGTTGATTTATAAGGGAATAAGACAACAGCTGAACTATACTCAGAGAAAAATTTATGTGCAACATACAGAAGGATTTAGTGTGGTGTGGCTAACAGCAATATTTCAGAGCTCACAGAAGTACCTCAAATTTGGTTGATTATTGAGGGGGAAAAATTCAGTCTGGTTCCTAGATGACAGTTCCTGTGATATGAACACAATCATAGCTGGCGCTGGGAGAGGTTAAGAACTGAATGGATTTAGAAACTGAACATTTAATTATCTCATGCTTAGGCTATGTATACATTAAAAAGTTAGGCTGATCCAGCTACGTCACTCGGGTGTGAAGAATTCTTCTGTTGACTTAGTTACTGCCCCTCAAGCAGGTGTATTAATTACAGTGATGGGAGAACCCCTCCCATTGCTGGAGTGAGTGTCTACACTGAAGTGCTACAGCAGTGCAGCTGCAGCATTTCTAATGAATACATAGCCTCAGACTTGGAATTCTAAGGCTAAGATAGAGAGACATATAAAGGCAATGCCTGGGGAGCTTTCCTCTGCTACTGTCTGTGTTAAACCTGTCCTGGCAATAGATAACTATTAGACTTTGTCTACACTGGCACTTTGTCAGCAAAACTTCTGTTGTTCAGGGTTTTTTGTCCCGAACGACAAAAGTTTTACCGATGAAAAGCGCTGGTGTGAACAGTGCTTTGTCAGTAAGAGTGCTTTCCTGCTGACAAAGCCATTGCCACTCGGGGAGAGGGGAAGCTTTTTGTTGGCAGGACAAAATAGCAGTCTCCTGCTGACAAAGAGCAGCTACACTGCATGCCTTTTAGTGGCATGGCTGTAGCGGCATAGCTGTGTCGCTAAAAGCCTCGGTGTGTTGCCATAGCCTTAAATAATTAGTTTCTAAAGCTGTCCAATACCTTTTATAAGGATTAAATTCACTCATTTTTTAAAGAAAACCAACCCAATGTGTTAACACTTTCATTTCACACAAGGTATACCAAAACCTATTTAGTGTTATACTGTGTTGCGCTATGAGTGCTATGCAATAATGTTTTTACTTTTAGCAGGAAAATGATACACTTAGAGTATTTGCAGGAAAACATAACATCAACATTGTGATGTGGACAATATCAATACTATTTGGGCCTGGGCTGCACACAAGTTGCAGTGGTTTAAATAAAGGTGTGGTGTTGGAAGTTAATTTGATGTGAGCCGGGGTTACAGTGTCTGAGTGTCCACATGTAAAGTTACACTGGTTTCCCTAAACTGGTGTAGCATCAGATCTTTTGTTAAACTGTTACAACTTCTGAGTGTAGATGAGCCTCTGCTGACCCACTGCTATCTCATGGAGAACTTTAAAGGATAATTGTTGTAAGAGTTCTGCTTATATACTGTCTGTATTTATATTATTTCTTTTACCTATGACTATTTGCATTCAAATATGATCTGTGTTGCTTAGGAACTGACCAGTTGCTCATAACTCATCTTAAGTCATCATTCTGTTTCTGTTATCAACAACTACCTGCGATGCCAGACTTGAGTAAAAGAATGATCAGCAAAAGCAAATGAATTTCTAAGGGGCAGTCCTGATTTCATTTGAATGTCCCTAGTAATGAAAATGCAGAGGTTTTCATATATCATGATATGTATATATTATACAAATTGTGATATTTTAGCAGAATTGTTTCTAAATAGAACATTAATCAGTTTTCCAAAAAATGTCCACTCTGCATTATTCGGGAACATCAAGAACATAAGTAAGTGTTAGAATTATTCAACCACACTATATTCTGTACTCTCCCTGTACTGTCTACATAGCTATTCTTATTCACTATATATTTTCCCCAACAAATATTGGGAGATCAACTATTCTAAATTTTCCTGACACATCTGTTTTTTCCACTGTCAAACATGCCGTATACTTCAAAAGTGTACCTAAAGTTCAGCTTTTGCTAGCATAATCATAAGATGCAGTTTATAACTTAGTCCCAGCTATGTCTTACTGTCAAGCCTTCATCAATATGCTCTAAAACTAAATGAAATGTACTAAGTAAACTATGGTTTCAGAATAGCTCTCATAGTGATAAAAGGATTTGAAATATATGGCCCGCATAAGCAGTCTATCCAGACTTATTGAATAGTGGGTGTATACTAAATGATCTAGTAGTGAATATCCGTGTCTGAAGTAAAAGAAATCTCTCACCCTATTGTAGGAAGAATATAAAAAATTACTAGCAGTATGCAGAATGTACCTAAACATATTTATATTGCACAATAGATTTATATGGTGCTGTATACATATAAAAAGTTTCTTCTTTGAGGAGTTCACAATCTATGTGAAAATAATGAGCAAATCCATGCCCATTTAACCTCCCCACCCATCTATTTACTATCTGTGGGGGGGAACTTGTTGCTCTTAAACAATCTTATGGGAAATGAATGATGCAGGTGATATGAAATATTTTGTTTTAAGGTCAGCAGTCTGAAATTGGCCCAGGTCCGTAGTGACCAAAAGTTATTGTAATCTGACAGCTGTTGAATGGGCCTTGTGAAATGAGTTGCCAGTCTCCGTCTGGTTCCTGGTAGACAGATATACTCATCACAAAAGCCACCAACTTTAGCACATGTCTTAGGAGCCTCAGCCAAGAGCAAAGGATTAAATTTTGCTATGTTTTTCCATATTGGTCAAAAGTGTGCAAGGCACTTCAACGGAATTTTATTATTATTTGTATTATAGTAGCATCTGGGGGCCCTGGTCAGGATTGGAACCGCAGCATGCTGGATGTTGTGCTCTGAAAATCTGAGTCTAAAAACATCATACAGAGAAAGTAATAGAAATCATACAACAGGTTTTTCCTCTCCCAATCGTTTTTGTTTGTTTTATTAACTTGTATTACTTTAATGCTACCCTCTTAGCCCTTTCCATTTTGCTGCCTTTGTGGCCACCAGATTCTGGGCCTGGTGTGGTCCCTTGCATCAATTATAGCAGCACAAAGGCTGCTCTAATTTATGCCCAGCTACCAATGGCCTTTAGGGTCCATTCTAGCTGCTGTGAATGGCTGGACCTTGGTGACTTATGACCACACACTCTCTCCTCTCCTCCCCCCTGTGTCCTCTATATTAGCAGCTGGGAGGAGTGTGATGTAGAGCCCAAACCTGACTCTGAGATCATTTCCCGGTGAGCTGGTGAAGCCAGCTTTCCGGCTGTTGTAGTTGGGCAGAGTGGCACAAGGCAGTAGGTGTGGGAACCAGAGTGGGGCTAAGATGATGATTACACGTATGTAACACAGGAAACAAGGCTTAAATAAGAGTTACATAGGGAAGTCATTAAACAAAGGATAATTAAATAGATGAATTAGCTGCTTACATATCAGCATGTTTAATAAAATGAAACTAAACAGCAAAATAATGAACATTTCCCGTGTTTTTAATGGGAATATATTTTTCTCATTTTAAGAGTATCCCACACTTCATAAAATCAATTACCTAGCATGGAAAATAGTGGTCCCAGTGTTCTAATTTCAAATTGTGCCACTGATACTTAGAATATCTTTAGATTTCTTCCATTTGAAATAAAGTATTGCTATGAAAACAAGCATAGTCCCATCCCCCAAATCAATACAAAATCAACATGGCATACATTAAAAGGATTAAAAACTGGCTAAATGACAATCTCAAAATGTAATTGTAGATCAGGAGTTGAATGGCTGTGTTATTAGTGGGCTCTGTGCTATTTAACATTGTTGTCAAGGACCTGGAAGAAAACATAAAATCATGACTGAAAAGTTTGCAGCTGACACACAGATTGGAGGAGTGGTACATAATTAGGCTTGGAAGGATTAGATTTTTGTTGGTACACAATTTCACCATACACACACAAACTGCTGAAAACATATTTCCTTTAGTAATACAGTAATCAAAATGTACAGATAGGCAAAATAAGAAAATGCTGCTTGAGAGCTTATTAGTTTGTACATTATGACGTGATGATGACAATTTGTGCTTTAATGGTTATAAAGGTTTAACTTTTTGAAGCTCAACATCTACTGTCATTAAATAATTGTCTGACCTCCCTGCAATAATGTCCTGCAACTGTGAAAAATGAAAGTGATAAAAATCTTTAAAAAATTATTAAAAATAAGCATCAGTACCGTCCATTGAAGTGATTTTAAAAAATCAAATTATGAGAAGCTTATAAATACTGCAGAGGACATGTCACGGATACAGAATGATCTGGATCTGTTGGGAAGCTGGATGCAAGCAAACTATGCATTTCAGTATGGCAAAATATAGTCTTACATCTAGAAACAAAGACTATAAACCATACTTACAGGACTCTATCCTGGGAAGCAGTGACTCTGGACTTGAGGATCATAGTGGATG